TTTTTTTCATTTGTATGAACGAAATTAATACAGAAACCAAAAATGGAAAAGAAGGAGTCGTTTCCAGGTTCCAGGCAATTGAATTTGAAGAAATCCTTCAATCTCGGTTTGCGCTCCTTATTGAATGCCTGCTCCGATGAGGTTAGGGTTTCATTTCTCACTGTAGTTTTCCCAATATTATGTATTTTTTCTGGTGAAAATTGGCTCATTCGGTGGTTGTTCTTTGATTTTTTTCTCGATCAACATAGGAATTTCGCGAGGCATTCCCGGGATTTACTGCACCGGAGCGGGAGCGGCTCCATGGACTCTTTCTTCAGGTGAAATGCTGTGTGTGCTAGTGCATGAGCCCTTTCATGTTGCATAATGTTTCGTTAAAGTTAATTTCATAAAGCTTCAGGCAGAAAAGTATTAGAGATTTTGGTGCAAGAGTAGAGATGTTCACTTTAATGTCGGGTGAATTTATTTTTTAGTTCATTTATTTGGTCTGGGGATTGGATCCGTAATTGGGGGAGCTATGGAAGCCATTATGCATTTGTGTTTTGTTACTGTGTTGAGCTATGAAATGTTTTTATCTGCTAGAATATGCATTAGAGTAAAATATGAATATCTTTGGATGTGAAATGGTAGTCTTGAGTTGTATCTCAGCCAAAACAAGGTTCTGTCTTACCGTCAAGGTGAAATTAATTCGTAAACTCTGCCAAATATAGTTGGAATCACTTAGAGTGAACCATAAAACTGAGCAGAAAGGTGGGCTTGGTAAAAAGGTGGGTTCTGTCTCACCATCCTTCTATGTTTGCGTATACATGAAACTGAAATGTTCTTAGTAGCAACCTCAGGGAGTAAGTTTTTGATTTACCAGGTTGTTATTTCCATGTATTGAGAGATAAGGCTCTCTGTTAATGCAAAGACTGCATGTCGTTGCAGGTGATTTCTTCTCTGCATGACAATATTCAGGTATGAAAGTTTTTTAAGCCTTTCACTTGGAAGACAAGTACCTGAGTGCCATTCTAATTGTTAGTGTGAGGTGCTTTATTTTAATGTTTTATTTTGATAATGTATTTTCTTTTTTATTTTTGACCTGTATACAGTTGTAATCCATATGTTACCATTTCCAAGGAATATCTGTTGATACCTTTGGTACAAACATACCAGTGATGTAAATTAACTTTTGGTCTACTTTTATGCACAAACTATTTATTAACCATTTAAGTGCATGATGACTTTTTCTTATCTGTATCTTGTTAGTTATGATTTGTTTCACCGCCGTGTCAGTTAGGATTTATATCTGCAGTTGTTCTTTGTCACAGTAATATTACGATGTTTATTGAGAGATGTTTAATTGTGCTACAATGTTTTGATCTTTATACTTGTGAATAATTATATTTTCATTCGTAAGAATTTAGACTTCTCTTGATTCCAGTCTTTGAGATGGATTCTTTTCACAATGCTCTTGTCACGAGCAACTCTAGAAGCTTCTTTCTGTTAATTCTTTAATCAGATGTTTGCACACTTAATTTCTCTTTGGATGGTAATTGTATACTGACTTCATGGAAGAAAATGATTATGGTGACTGTAATCTCGCACTTATTGCAGGAAGAATTTGAGTCCATATTTCTCCAGACGCAGGTAATTTTCAATGTTTTTTTCTTTTGGTAGAAGTTTTAGACTCCTAACATTCCAAATAAGTTACAGTTGATGGTGTGACAGATTTTCAATCTTTTTTGTCACTTTTCTTAGGTACCATGCCCGTAATTTCTTGTTGATGGAGATGACTATTGGATTATGTTCATTGTGTTTATGTCTTTCTTTATTACTTACATGCATGATAATACATACATAACTCTTTTGGGTTGGTGATATGACACATGTTGGTGTTTACAGAACTTAATTTGTTTCTCTGTAGGCAGGGACAGTCTTGGACACTGTAGAAGAGCTAGTGGAAGAACATAATTTGGATCCTCTAATCTCAGAGAAGTACGCTTGCTTATATTATAGAAATAACTTGTCTGAGGAGTTCCCCCAGTTTAAAGTTTAGATGTCAAATCTATGAACTTCAAGTTGTCTACATGCTAGTTAGCACAGCATTTATATTCATACTTATTTTGAACCAATGCAAAAAAATATACGTGTCTTTGTTTATTCTACTTGTGTAACTCAGTCTCAAACTGCAGGAGTAATGTAGGAGAGACGGCTCAAATTTTGTCCGAAGCAAAGAAAAATGAAATAAAAGATCTGACAGGGCTTTTGGAAAAGGTATACAAATGCACACAATTATATATATTGTTTGAACTGAATACAGGTGTTTGAAGGCCGTCTTTATCATTTTACATCACATTTTATATTCAGAAGATGCTTTCATTCAACGTGTTCATAACAATCATCTTATTTCTGGAATTTACCTTCTCTTCGCTCTTCTATATGGCAAGAGCACAACATATCACGATCCTGTATACTTTTATATGATGATGAGGAGGGTGCTGATGAGTTCTACTAAGGTAGTACGGAATAGTAACACCAATGCAAGAATATATAGTATTTTTTGTTTCACTTGGGTTTTATCAACATACTAGTTCATAAATAGTAGTGTAAATACTGTACCACGGATGGTTCAAACAATATAAATTATATAAAATTTCAGGGTACCTGAATGCTAGACATACTAATTATACTCTTGTCTAATTTTTTTTTTTATTGTTGGTGTTTTTTATATTATTATATTACTAACGCTTCAGTTCCATGCAACACCATATCCTCCGCCCAGTTTGATAGTATCATTTTTCTGATCCATCAGTCATTTTTAGAACTTATTAACCCATTAGTTCCTTATACTCCTTATCTTATTAGGCAGAGGAACAGAAGCGTAAACTTGAAGCCCGTTATGAACTCCTCAAGAAAGAAAAGCAAGACTTCTCTGGAGCTACTAATCTTGTCGATGAGGTTAGGATACTTGTTTAACTTTTCCTCTGCATTTACTACACACACACACACACATATGTACATACATACATACATACATACATACATACATACATACATACATATATATGTATGCACATATATATTTGTGTGTGTTGTAATGCTGCTCTAAACAGTGTCTCCTGTTCAATTCTACAGTTAAGGACCAGAATATCAAACTACAATAATGACCACCTTTCTGAGCTTGCTGATATCTGACGCCATTCGGCATTGTCTAAAGAAGTGTAATGTATACTACTAAAAACTTAAGCTTCGTAACATAAACTTCATAGCTTGACCAGTTGACCTTTATCATGCCTTTTGCTTTCACTTTAGTTGCTATATTTGTTGAGTGTTTATGCAGTTTTCTTCTGTAAAATCTCCTGAAACTGTTATATTGTTCTTTGATCATTTTATATTGGCTTCTCTTTGTGATTGATGTAGGTATTACTTCTAAAGTTTTGTTAACAGCTCAAAAGGTTTTTCCTTCCCTTTCTGTTTTTCCTGGGAGTAAACCATCACAATGAGCTTATTAATTTCTGTGAGGAGTTGACCAAATAGGAAACAAACTTTTAATTTGCCCATCTAGATCATACGTGCATTAGGAAACAAGATTTTCTGATAACTTAAATAGTTATTCGATTGAATCAAAGTCAGATGGAGAAAACTATAGTTAATGCAGTCATGATTACCAGCTTTGTACTTGCTACACGTGACAACATCTAGAGTAACATTCCATTAAAGTTCGTATGAAAAATAAAATGCTTCGTACTGTTAGTTACTCGTCCTCCAGTTATTTGATATAATATTTGAACATGGTCTTGTTGAGCAGCACGATCCTAAATGTCGGTTCTACATAGGATGTTTCCCGCATGTCCTCTTGACATGCACTGTATATGATGGAGAAAGAGTAGATGAACCCAAAGACACGTTGAGAATCTAATTTCAGGAGCTTCTTTTTGAATTTTTATTTTTTAGGTTTTAGCCGTGCTATTTTTCTTCCACTTAGTCTATTTGCCAAATAGCTTTTGGAGTGAGTGCATGTTTACTAAAACAGAGCATTTTCTGAGGACAACTTGTAAAGGCAAGTTTTGTTCCATGTTTGTTTACACATGAATCTAGCTGGCATAGAGCCACGTACGTTAACTCAGACAATTAGGAAAGGCTGGCAACTGGTTGTACTGATAGCTTTGTTTTAGAAATGTTAATCACATTAGTTTAGACTAATGTAACACTTAAGGTTGGTTGACTTTTGGAGTAACCATTGTTTATCTTCAGAATATATTTGTACTTTGTGTTGGGTAGGGCTGCCAACGAGCTGAGCCTAGTCGAGCATTGGCTTTATCGAGCATGATTGATTTTTTTTTTTTTTTTTAGCTGCTCGAGCTCGATTTTTTAGGCTCTAGTTCGACTCGATAAAAAATCACAATAGCTTGAGCTCGACTTGAAATCAAAATGCTCGAGCTCGGCTCGAGTTCAACTCGAAAATTAATAAGTGGAAAGGTAAAATTACCATATGCTAACATATATAAGTGGTATTTTAGTAATTTAACATGTATCTCGAGCTGCTCGAGAAGGCAAAATATGGGTTCGAGCTCGACTCGAGCTTTGACTCAAGCGCTCGCGACCCTCTCGGTTCGTTTGCAGCCCTAGTGTTGGGTCCCTCTTGACTGTATCATCAAGATGCCCTTCATTTGACCTGTCCGTGCGTCCTATCTCACGAGTTACGACATTCTAATAATTATTAGGAATCTAGGATGATTTGAGTTTTATATTTGCCCTAATAGATTTATTAGGCATATTGTACTAAGCAATTGAACCAAAATATTGAGTTTCTTTTTAGGTGCCGGTTTCCAGGATATTAAACACCTCCTTGTAGTTGTAGGACCTTTTAATACTGAATCACTGTTGCTATAATGCTATCGAATCTGCAAGCGTTTTAGTTATTGGGAAAAGAGATACTCTATCCTTTGATTTGTTAGAGTTGCGCAGTTAACATTAAGAATAATTTCAAATGGCTAGCTTAATTTCGAAGATCAACGTACAAAAAAACTTAAAGTGAAATCATGTAGCTCCAATCATTTCATGATGAAGTCAGCCCTGGGCACTATGTGGGAGCTGTTAGAGCACAATTATCAGTTACATATGCTTCAATGCTCGTTGATTGTGACGAATAAATCATGACTAATAGAGGCCTTTTTTTACTTTTTCTTACTTGCGCGCCAGACTGTTTGGGGTATGTTGATATCGGATGTAAGCTTGCGTGAGGAATACTTAAAATTTCGGATGTAAGCTTGCGTGAGGAATACTTAAAATTTTGGTTTGATGATTTTTTTTATCTTTCTTCGAACAGGGGGACTTGACATCAAACTACAAACAGTGTTTCAAAAATTTATTCATGTCAGGTATTTAGCATAGGTGGGCAGACCACAGATGTGTAGAAATTATGTATGAAGAAGATACAATGGTTATGTTTGGTTTTTGCCGGTTTGATAAAATAACTAAGTTAGCCATTTTGACCAAATAGAACCGCTAACAACAATGTTTGGTTAAGCAGCTTATTAGCTTGGTGGATTGGGGAAAAAAAGCCGAAATGCGAGCTATTAAGAATTTGACGGTTTGTGAATGGCTTTTTAAATGATTAATTAGATCTCTCTTTTGTTTTTT